AGCCCGCGCACCCCCCGCGGGGGTTCGTCCGAGGGGGCTGCGGAGCCCAGCCTGGGGGGCTATAGGGTCCGCTCGAGGCGGGCTGTGGGGCTCACCCCGGGGTGCTATAGGGCCTGCCCTGGGGCAGCTATAGGGCTCGCTCTGGGGGGGCTGTAAGGCCCACATGAGGGTGACTGTAGGACCCACCATGGGGGGGCTATAGGACATGCCAAGGAGGGTACGACGTCCTGTCCCCCCACCCCCGGTTCTCCCCTCCACTCTCAGAGCGTAACCGGGGCCGATCAGGTGTGTGAAGGTACGACACCACAGGCTTTGGGGACCCCTCGGGCAGTCACTGAGCGGTGACTGTGAATGCAAGCGTGTCCCCAGGGTCCCTCGAGGTTGCCGGGGTGGGTGAAGGCTGCGGGGATGTCAGGGCAGCAGCCTGTACCGCTGATCCCCCCCAGAGTCTCTCCTGCAGGTGCTGCACCCCTGCCTGCACCCAGTGCTGCCAGGCCCCTGCCCGCAGGAGTAGCTGCTCCCAGGAGCGGGTCTCGCTTGGGTTACTTGTGGGCTTGCACCTCTGCCAGGTCGCGTGGGCTGAGCGCAGGTTCGGATGGGAGCTGGGATTCAGCGCTGGGCTCCTTGCACGGGACAGGGCTTGGCTGTCTAGAGCTGGCAGGGCTTTGCTGCGGTGGCTGGGAGAGCGGGGCTGGCAGCTGCCTGACGTGGGAGTCCCTTTCCCCCTCCTCGCCTCTGCCCAGGGGTGCCAGGTCTCGGGCGGAAAAGCGAGGCTGGTGGTGTCCGTGCCCTCACCGGGCTCCTGGAGTGTGGAGGTGGCGGAGCTGGGTGGTGCGCTTGAATGTATATACGTGTGCATGCACCCCCTCTGAAGGCACATGCTTCCCGTGTGCCTGGAGCATCATTAAAAATGTATTAATAGCCAAGTGTAATTAATTACAAGAAGCTGCAGGAAAATACATATGAAAGGGCAGATGGCAATGGGCAGGAAGCTCGGAGTTCAAGTTCCTCAGAGCACAGAGTCGTAGGGGCAGGAAACGTCTCGGGCTCTGTGCAGCACCGAGCACAGACCTCGGTGGCGATGGTTGGTTGAGAAGGACCCCAGCTCTCTGGTATCCAGGCTCTCTCCAAGCATTGGAGGGGGTCAGTGTTCAACAGCAGCTTGTGTGCGTGTGCGCGCGTGTGTTTTTAATTTAAAAAAAAAAAAAAAATGGCAAAAGAACCCTTAGGAGTTGGGGGGGGGAAAAACCTCCAGTTGCATTTCTCTTAGCTGCTATCGCAAGAGCTGTTCGGGAGGGGATTGGAGCAGTGCACTGGTCCTCAGCTGGTTCCTATTAGCGT